GGCGGCTGGGACACTCTGGAGCACTATCTGGACAAGCATGACCCGTGCCGCTGCTCGTCCTCGGGTCAGTGCCCATGGCGGGGGCGGGGGGGGCTGGGCGGGCAGAGCACTCGTGTCTGTGGCACCACCCTTCACCTGCCACCTGTTCTCTCACCCCCCGCAGCCCACCGCCCGCCCCAGCCCAGGGCTCGCACCTTCTCCCCACAGAGGGTGTCGCCCACCCCCAGCCCTCGCGCTGGCAGCCCAGCCCCTGGGGGCGAGCGACGGAGCTCCCGGCCAGAAGTGACGCCCATGAGCCTACGCACCTCAAAGGAGGGAACAGAGACCCCCCTCAGGTGAGAGGCAGGATGGCCAAGGGGTGGTGGGGGGTGGTGAGGGGTCCCGAGGGTGGCGGGGGGGTGCATCCGCCCTGGCCTGGATGACGAAGGAGCCTGTGCTCCAGAGTGACTCACACCCTGGGAAAAGTTCCCGTGGGTGGGGGCAGGCCTGGCTTCCTATCTCCATGGCAACCCAAGCAGCCGAACAACACAGCTGGGGCAGGCCCTGGGGGCTGGGTGGCGGCCAGTCCTACCCGCTTCCCCTGGCCTGCCTAGGAAGCCGGAGGCCTGGGGAGGGGGAGCTCGGAGCCTGGCTTCTTCCGCTGCCTTGGGGTTGGGGGGTGGCCCCGGCTGCCGGAAGCTGCTGCCGAGTCCCTCACTTCTCTCTGGAAGTCCCCAGGAGGACCGAAGCCCTTGACAGCCCCCACCCCCACCCACCCACCACCACCACAGGTGTCTTCCCCGCCCCCAACCACTTGGCTGCTTGTTCCTTCCTCTCCCGGCCCTTTCTGCATGTCAGTCCTGTCTCTGGATGCCCCATCTCTCTCTCTCTCTCTTTCTCTCTCTCGTTCCCCTGCCCCAGGGCCCGGGACCAGCTGCCCCCCCACCCCCGCTCCCGCCGCTACTCCGGGGACAGCGACTCCTCAGCGTCCTCAGCCCAGAGCGGCCCCCTTGGTATCCGCGGTGAAGACTCAGGCACCGGCCCCCGGAGGGAGCGGCCCAGCCAGCGGCTGACCACAGGCACCCCGGCCTCCCCGAGACGGCCCCCCGCCCCGCGCAGCCAGTCCAGAGACCGACTGGATCGGGGGCGGCCCTGTGGGGCCCCCGGAGGCAGGGCAGCCCAGCTGTCGGCCCCCAGCCCCGCCCGGCGGGCCCGGAGCCAGAGCCGTGACGAGCAGACCACGCTGCTGGTGCGCAGGGACCGAGACGGGCAGCACTCGTGGGTGCCCCGGGGCAGGGCCAGCAGGGGCTCGGGCAGGAGCAGCCCCCAGACTGCCCGGGCTCGCAGCCCTGCGGCGCCCCAGCCTCTCCGGGTCTCCAGCCCCACCCCAGAGGCGGGCGCCACACCGGCCAGTGCCTTCCGCACCCCGCTACAGCTTGACCCGAAGCAGGAGCAGCAGCTGTTCCGGCGCTTGGAAGAGGAGTTCCTGGCCAATGCCCGAGCCCTTGAGGCCGCTGCTGGCGGGAGCCCCGCAGGACCAGCCTCTGACCCAGCTCGGGTCCCAGACCCCTCAGCTCCTGACTCGGCCTACTGTTCCTCCAGCAGCTCCTCTTCATCCCTCAGCGTCCTGGGTGGCAAGTGTGGCCAACCTGGGGACTCTGGCCGGATGGCCAATGGGCTGCCCGGGCCCCGAGGCCCAGTCCTATCCAGCTCTTCTGATGAAGGCAGCCCCTGCCCTGGTGTCGGGGGCCCACCAGACGCACCTGGAAGCCCCCCGGCTGGCCTGGAGCTCCCAAGGACCTGGGCACGGGGCCGGATGGACACACAGCCAGACCGAAAACCCTCACGCATCCCCACGCCTCGGGGCCCTCGACGTCCATCTGGATCCACAGAGCCTGGGTCCTGGCATGCCCTGCACTCTGTGAGCCCAAGGGCAGAGCCGGATTCCTGGATGTGATGAAACAGCCCAGTTGCCCCCTCCCCACCCCAGGCCCACATTCCTTCTCTTCCTTTTCCTTCGTGGCCTTAACCCCTCTGCATCAGGGAGCCCCCCCACCCCTGTCTCTCGGGTACCAGACCTCATGGGACCAGACCCCTTGGGACCACATGGCACAATGGGACCTCTGTCGTACATTCCGGTTGGGGGATGAGCGTTGCTATTTAATTACTAATATTATTGAATGCCTTAGAGGAGGCCAATGAGGACCCCTCCTGAGGTCCTGTGGCCCTGCAGAGCCTGACAGTAAAGTATTGTTCCAGCCACTTGTGTCTGCTTCTTGGGATCAGCCTTGGGGCCATCACACCTTTTGGGGAACGCTTATTACATGTTGGGATTCAGGCATTAGGTGCCAGGGAGCAATGCCTGGCAGCTCTGACCTCGAAGCTTGAGACCCTGCAGCCCATCCGAGTAATGGGAGGTGTGCTTGCATTGTTTTCCCCTTTATTACCTCCGAGAGGTGTGACTTAAGAGTTTGTCCAGTGAAGCCGCAGGAGCAACCTGAGAGCTTCCAATCAGAATAACCAAGTCCAATGGGATTGTAACCCAATGAGGTCCCAGAAAGGACTGCTTGAGCCCAATGTAGCTTGGGGCCTGGCTAGGTCCAATGAGGCTCAAAGAGAGTCCTGTCGCCCAGGAGACTGACTGGGAGGTTTCCTCATCCAACCAGGGAGGAGACTTTGTCCTGTCCAATCCGAGAGAAGTTGGGCAATTTCGTCCAATCCAGGTACCCGGTTGTTCCAATCAAACCACCCTCCCCCCACCATCGGCGTCGTCGTCCAGTTCAGTCACATGAGGCTGCAGCGCGCCGGGTGCAGCGCCCCCTGCAGGCGCAGGGCCGGGTGCGCAGGGCGCGCGCGCACCAAAGCGCAACGCAGCAGCTCGCGGAAAAGACGCAGCACGTGCCAATTGTACTTGGCGGAGCACTCGAGGTAGCCGCAGCGCCAGCCCCTGCGCACCAGGGCGGCCAGAGCGCGCCGAGGCCCGAAGCGCAGCCGCTGCCGGTCCCGCTTGTTGCCTACCACGAGGATGGGAGCCTCAGGTGCGCCCGCCGGCCTGTGGGCCAAATGAGGACGCGGGCTGCCGTGCCGGACACCCCACGGCCCGAGACCCCTCTCCCCCAGTGGGTATATACACTCCTGTGGCCAAAGACACCCCCCCCCCAAGGAAATACCAGACCCGAGGGGCCCAAAGACCCCATAGCTGGCAGGCCCGAGACCCGGCCAGGACTGGGGAAGAACCCACCCACTGCCCTTGGGCAAAGGCCCAGCCAGTCTGGCAAAAGCTCCCCTCCTCTGCCCACACACACCTGTGGCCGCGTCCCCACCTGGTCTCCGAGATGCGCTGCCGAAGCGCCTTCACGTAGTCGAAACTGTCCGGGCTGCAGATGTCATAGACGAGCACGAAGGCGTCCGTGTCCTGCAAGCTCCAGTCCTTGGGGTCTGGCCACTCCTGGGGCGGGAGGCCAGAGTTTGCCAGAAGACCCTTTCTCACTCTCTGACTGCCAAACCCTCTGAAGGGTCTTGACGCTAAACCCACAGTTCATCCTCAGGCCCCGGCCGTCCCCACCCCCTGTGCGCCATCTCCCCCCAACAAGCTCCCTAGGCCCTTACGGTCTTCACGGTGGCCAGGGTAAAAATTTCTAACCCGGGCCTGAAGCCTGTCAGCTACCAGCCCTCCTCACTCTCGGCCTCCTCTCTGCCCACCCCCTAGCTTCCTCCTTCCAGCTTTCCAAAGCTCGGCTCGGGGCCCCTTGAGCCCTCCCTCCCTATTTACTACAGCTGCCTCTAAGCCCTGGGCTCCCTATTCCCCAGGCCCTCGGAGACCATGGATTATGGACAGCTGTACATATTCGGGCCTCCGCCGCTCAGCACATGCTGTTCCTTCCACCTGGCAGGCTTCTGCCACTTCTTTTAATCAAAACTTCACTCATCCTTCCAGGGTCAGCCCCAACGTCACCCCTTCCAGGAAGCCCTGCTTAATTCTGCATGCTCTTTCCTCTTCACCTCTCGGAGGCATCCAGCTCCAAGAATTCAAAGTCTGTCCTGGACTTCGCACAAATTGCTAAACGAGTCACAGGAATAAGGGAGCAGAGAATGACCGCCCTAGAAAGTACACCTGTGTCTGGCCCCATCCTCCCCCCACTGAGGCTCTGCCTAAGGCCCCAAACATACAGTGCTCACCCTCAGGGAGACACAACCATGCTTGCCGTGCACTGATCCAGAGCCACCAGCGGAGGCAGGCAAATATACAGGCACTTTAGGCGAGTGAGAAAAAGCCGCTTTTCAAAATCGCAGGGCCTCGGGCCTGATCTTGGGCAGCTCCAGGCCGTCAAGAAGGAGAGAGACACACACAAACCCCCCAGGACACGTTCATCCTTCAATCCATGAACACAGTTGGGCACCCCGGGGCTGTCCAGGCAGACACGCACGTGTGCACCGAGCACCCGTCACACATACACACACGCTGTTACACGCCCCTGCCCGCCCCTCGAGCCGCTACCTCTGGACCCCCGGGGTTCTGACCCGGACGAGCTCCGTCGCCGTCGCGGATGCTCAGGTCGTAGACCGCGCCGTCGAGCAGCACCGCGGGCCGGTAGAGGCGTGGCCCGTCCGTGGGCCGGTGGCGTTCGGGATAGTCACCGAACAGGAACTGGCGGATGATGGCCGTCTTGCCCACGCCCGGGGCGCCCAGCACGGCCACCCGCAGGCTGCCCCCCATGGCCCGCGCGCCCTGCCGCGCCCAGCGCTGGAAAGCCTCATGGGCCAGCGGCGCGCCGTGAGCCCCGCGTGCCCTGCACGGTGCGCTCTGGCCCCGCGCTCCTCATCGCCGCCCGGAGCACCCTGGGCCGGGAGAGGCCGGGCCAGAGGACTGAGCGGGCGGTGGTCGGAGGGCAGACAGACAGCCGAGCAGGCCGACGGAGGACGCGCGAGCAGCTCCGGCAGGTGCCGAAGCTCGGGAGAGAACAGACCCCGCGCGCGGTGCAGACACCGCCTCCGCCCCGCAGCGCGGCTGGAGGCGCCGCCGGCAGCGCGAGCACCGAGGTCCGACCTTCTGGCCGCGCGGGTCCCGCAGCGGATCGGGGCGCGGGGGCGGCGCTGCCCCTCGGTGCTTCCGTCCCCCGGTCCTTCTGTCGCTCCGGCGCCCTGAGTCGCCGCCCCAGCCAGCGGCGCGAGCGAGCGAGCGGAGCTTCCCGGAGGCGGCGATGAGGTAACCGCCGGCCCGCCCCTCCCCACCTTCCCCCTACCCGCTCGGGACGCTCCTCCCGGGAAGGGTCGCGGGAAGGTGACTGGGGCGCAGGGAGCCGGGGGAGGGATCCAGCCCCCTCCGTGTCCCGCGCTCCTCTCACCCGCTCCAAAATAGAAGTCCCTTCCCGCCCACGTCCGCGTCCGCTCCTCCAAACACCGCTCCGGCAAGCTGGCTCCAGACAATCCCAGCCCGCTGGAGCCAGGCCGCCTGGGTCGGATCTACAGCCCCAGCTCTGTGACCTTGGGCGAGTCTCCGCGCTGCGCTGGCTCTCTGCTCCGCAGCCATCAGACGCAGGCACCTTGCTTGAGATCCTACTACGTGCTGGGCCCTTTACTAAGCTGTTGCCTAGTGATCACTCAATCTACAGCCTTATCCTGGTTATCTCCGTTTGAAAGAGGACAACAGGCCCGGGAGGGGGCTCTCCAAGGGTGGGGGGCAGTGGGTGGCCCCTGACGCACAGCCTGTGGTCTCCTCTGAGGAGCCCTCCCACTTTGGTCCTGCACACAGAGGTGAATGTCCAGCATGAAACAATATATCAGGAGGCCGTCATACAGGTGGGGCTGGACAGAGTGTGCTGAGCCTGGTACACACCGGGTTGCAGAAACTCAGCCCGGAAGCCCTGTCCCAACAAGGCTGAAAGATCCAGAAATTGGTCAGCATCACCTCTGTCACTGCTAAGGCCAAGTTTTCTCCACCTGTAGCCTGTAGCTTCCCTCGAAGCCCAAATTCCCCCCTCCCTGGAGCTAGTGAGAAGCTCCTTCACCATTACAGCTTGGAAAGTCTGGGTTTGTCCAGCCCCCATCCTCTGATTCTGCTTGCCTCCTCCCTGCAGAGGGGGGCTCTCCCGTTTCTCTGACCAGATGCACAGGTACAGACAGCTCTATGTTTCTGCACTGACCAAGAGACACTTGGGTGTCTCTTCAACAAGCATTCCCAGTCTCAAAGCTCACCGGAGAGACAGGGAGGGAAAGAGAGGGGAAAATCCTACCTTAGGAGAGTAGGTTCTAGAACACATGGGATCCAGGAATTGTAGGAGCGTAGAGTGGGAAGTGGAGGAGAGAGGGGAGCTTAACCCTGAAGTGAGGAGAGGGTGCATCCTCCAGGGAAGCAGGTGATGGCAACAGAAGGTTGTGTACTGGTTGTTTTCATCTTCCCATACTGGGTCTGCTTTCACTCTTCTCCTCAGCCACTAGGGAGCTCAGAGCCAGACTTGTGGCTACCTCTGGTAGGTGTTCTAGGTCTTCAAGCCCAGTGAGTGGGGGACTACTGGCTTCATCTTCCTTTCCTGCCATGATTCTTTCCCTTCACCCAACTTCCCCACTCTATAACATTTCAGACTTATGGGTTTTGTGAGCTGCCTCAATTCCTTTGGCGAACAAGGCTGAGCATAAATAAACTAAGCTCCCCTTCCATTTTGGCATTCAGGAGGGTGCGGGGCTGACATCAGGACAGTCTTCCTTAAGGCCCTGGGTGGGACCCGCATCTCTGACTGGAGCACCCTCTCTTCTCACTCCTTGGGAACAAGACCACCCTTGGGAGCTAGTTCTGCATGTCCTTCCTCCGGAAAACCTTCCTTGCTTCACTTTCTGACAGAGTGCCTTACTGGGCAAGGCTTCTTCAGAACCAGCAAACAGGGCTGTGCGTGGGTGGGTGGGGGGCATCTCTGGGTCCCAGTGTGCTTTCTCAGTGCATGGTTTGCATGGTTTGGGAATGATGGAGGACACTCTGGACGGCGAATGTCCTAAAGCTCCTAAAAAGCCCTGCAGACCGCACAGGGGTGACCCATTCCCTAGGAAACTCGTGCGCCAGCACCCCTAGCAGCAGTCCCCGTTTAGCAAGGGCCTGTGAGGTCCCACGCCCCGACCCATAGCTGCATGCTCACTGAGGCCCAAGGGTGCAAAGGTTTTCCTGAGATTTCCCAGCAGGAGAGTGGTGGGATGGGCACTGGAACCCGGACATTGAGCCATCAGGTCTGACTATCTGAGCAGCCCAGGGACCAGAGGGCCTTCAGGAAAAGATCAGTTGAAGCCTGTGACCCCGTGGGAAGGGACTTTGAAGAAGCCCCTTTCATTCATGGCGACTGAGCCGAGCAGTGATGGGAGTGGGCTGCCCAGGTGCCAGGCTTCCCAAAGACTAGCAAGCCAGAGAACTTGGGCTGGGATGGAAATTTCTAAGTTTCCCTCGGCGGTCCCCTCACTCCTTCCCCAAGGAGAGGCAGCCAGAGTGCTGTCTGTTGCACCATGGCTCCCAGGCTCCTCACATGCTTCCCATTCGGTGCTCCAGAGAGCACTCATCAAGCATCCATACATCTGTTCCTGTGGAGCATAGGACCTGGTGCTGGGCCCATGGTGGCCAGGCTGGTTCCTGCCTGCCCTCTGTGGCTTGTGAAGGAGCCAGGCATGCAGCCAGGCACAGACAGATGGAAAGGCCTGGGATCTCTGGGGCTGAGGCGACCCAGGGGAGGCACCAGCCTACTGAGGTTGGGGGCTTAGGAAAGGCCTAATGCCACACCTAAGCTGAGCCCTGAAGGGTTAAGCCACAGAAAGTGGGGTGGGCTGGGAGGCTGTTGGGAGGCCCTGGGCAGGGGCAGGGCAGGCACCGGGTGGAGAATCCTGAGCCCACAGCCTCCTGATGCCAGCCTGCTGAGCACCGCCCTTCCCTGCCACCTGTGCCCACACAGCTTCTCCCCAGCTGGCCCGATTCCAGCCCTTTCCTGGGGTCGAGCACCCTGGACTGCATCCAGCTCCCAGGAGCATTTGCTCTGGGCCCCACCCCGACCTTGCATCATGGTCTGTCCTGACCTTTAACACTTGTCCACAAGTCCACTTGTCCCAACAGTGACTCACCCCCTGAGCCCTGGATGGGGGGGTACCCCTCTCTCAGATGCTTGGCATATAGTGGGTCCTTGGTCATCCTTATAATGCCACCCACTGAGTGTAGTGGTCAGCCTCTTGAAGGCCCTCAGGACACGAGGAGGAAGCACAGAGTGGGGCTGAGTTTGAGGTCTCCTCCCAGGAGTGTGTAATCTGTGCAAATTACTTAAACTCTCTAAGCCTGTTTCCCTCTCCATAATGGGATAACAATGGTCTTGACTTCACACAGTTGTGGGAGGAGATGAGATAAAACGGAGAAAAAAACAAGATAATTTAGTAAGGTGGGAGGGGTAAAAGATTTGTACATATAAAACAATTTCATTTTTATATGCAAATAGCTACTAGTTACAAAACAACGGAGGGACATGTGTGTCTACACGGGTAAGTGTGCACACAAATATTTCCTAGCTCTGTCTGCTGAGAGGTCCTAGAAGTGCTAGCCCAGGAGCAACAAACACACCCAGCACTTAGATCTTGGTTTCTAAGGCCACTCGCCAATGAAAGGCACCATGCTCCTTGGAGAAATGGCTGATGCTAGGGTCGGGGCAGGACAAATACAAGATGAGCCTGGAGCATCTTGTAATGCCAGAAAGCAAGGGAAGCCGCAAAGTAACGAAAAGATGGGCCACATCAAAGGGACGCAGAGGCTACCCGAAAGAGCTCCCAATGGCCAAATTGGAACAATGTATGCAACAAAATAAATAATGTACTTTTGGATTAAATTCAAATTGGAAAATAAATATCCATTAGTCCAGACTGATATAAAAGACTGAATTAATAAATAAATATGGGAGAAGAAACCAATTCTTTCCTACAGAAGGATTTCAAGTCATTCTGTAGCTACTCCCTGCCCCCACAATCTTTCCCAAGTGTAGGCTGCACTTAGTGACTTGCTTCTAAAGAACAGACTAGGGGAAGGGGAAGAGAGTAACTCCACAGTGGAGAAAGCTGGAAACACGACCTTGGCCAAGTGATCAGGCTAACGTGACAGTGATAGACCGATGTTGTATGCCCCTGATCTGATGTAACAAAGAAGGGCAACTCTCTGGTCTTAAACCCACAACCCCGTCTAACCACGAGAAAAACGTCAGACAGACCGAAATTGAGGGCTAGTCTACAACATACCCCACCAGTACTCCTTGAAATTGTCAAGGTCAGGAAAAAACAAAGTCTGAGAAACTGTCACAGATTAGAGGAGCCTGAGGAGACATGACAACCACATGGAATGTGGGATCTGGGAACAGAATGAGGACATGAGTGGGTAAACTAGTCAAATCTGAATAAAGTCTGGAGTTTAGTTTACAAATTATATATTACATAACTTATTTTATAAATATATATTATTCTTTTTTTAAAAAAAGATTTTGACAGAGAGTATGAGCAGTGGGAGCAGCAGGTAGAAGGAGAAGCAGGCTCCCCACTGAGCAGGGAGCCTGATGCGGGACTCCATCCTGTGACTCCAGGATCATGACCTGAGCCGAAGGCAGTCGCTTAACCAACTGAGCCATCCACGCACCCAAGGACAAACTAGTTTTAAAGTTCAATTGGGACAAAGAGGGTGAATAAGAGGGCACTATAAATATAGAAATATAAAGGTACAATACTTTTTTAAAAAATGCAGTGGCCTATGAATAGACAAAATTCTCTGCGGCAGAACAGGGTCCACAAAAGCACTCATATACATATGGAAATGTAATACATGTTACAAATGACATTTCAGCTCTGTGGGGCTTAAAAGATGAATTACTCAGTGAATGGTGTGGAGACAACTGGGTAACCATCTGGGAAAAGAGAAAGTTGGATCCCTACCTTGTCCCTAACATAAAGCCCAGATGGAACAGGATTGAAATGCACAAATGAAGATCAGACAAGCACCAGATCAGGCAAGTATAAAAGAGATTAAAGGAAGATAGCATACAAAAACAATTTCGGCATGGTAAAGTAAAAGACTGTAACAAAATGGGGAGAAATAATGACAGATCGATAAGAAGAGGACCAATAATTATACAAATGGGCAAAAAATATGAAATATGAATATGAAGCAGCTCACAGATGGACATGCAGGGGCACCTGGATGGCTCAGTCAGTTAAGCATCTGACTCTTGATCTCAGCTCAGGTCATGATCTCAGGGTTGTGAGATCAAGCCCTACATCAGGCTCTGCACTCAGTGCAGAGTCTGCTTGAGATTCTCTCTCCCTCTCTGCCCCCAACCCCCACGCGTGCGCATTCACGCTCACTCTCAAATAAATCAATAAATAAAATCTTTTAAAAAAAGAGAATAGGGGGGTGCCTGGGTGGCTCAGTCGTTAGGCGTCTGCCTTCGGCTCGGGTCACGATTCCAGGGTCCTGGGATCGAGCCCCACATCGGGCTCCCCGCTCAGCGGGAAGCCTGCCTCTCCCTCTCCCACTCCCCCT